GTATTGGTATTAAAAAATTTATAAAATGCCTCCGCGTCCAATGTAGCTGAAGAAATAATTATTCTTAATTCCGGTCTCCTTTTTTTGATCCTAAATAATTAAAGTCCAAATAATTTATTTTTAAAAAAGTCTTTAAAATACTTTAGGAATAAAGCAAAATATACAAACTTTTTCAGAATTCCAAGTAATATATCAGTATAAAGACTTCTTTCATGAGCTTCATCAATCATAATAACACTATACTGTGTTAGCAATGGATCGGTAAATGCCTCGCGAAACAACATGCCATCAGTCATATATTTGATACGTGTTTTAGCTGGATCGTAGCATTCTTCAAACCGAACGCAGTAACCGACATTGAATAAATCCATAATTTAGAGATAATAACAAGATATATATATACACAATCAAATTTAAGAGATAATTCGCCATCGAAGAATATAAATTTATAGTAAAAATCGGCAGAATTTGCTACGAGTTTATTATAAGGTTGGAAGGCCAAAAGTCTTTTGAAAATAATATAGTTTACAAAATGTAAATCACTAATATCTCGCATTCCAACGCTATATAAAACTAATAACTTCCGGCAATTTTTGCTGATAAATTTATTAAACTTTTATACTTCAACTGTGATTTATCTCTTAACCTACTTCTTCGCCAAGTTTCACGTTCATTTCTGTGGCTGTGCGTTCAGCAACTGTAGTAGCGGCTACGCGACGAGGCTAACGTTCCCCCCCAAAAAAAGATGTATTAAGATAAACTCAAAGAATTATAGTTACTAACAATGCTTGATAGTTAGTTACCTGTGTGCATGCCACGACAAAACCATTATTAGTCCAACCTGCTTCATTAAGATATTGTGGTATTTCTAAAAAGAAATAATAAATTAAATTCAAAGCAAAAATTTACAACATGATAAATTAAGCACGTACGCGTGGTTTTCCCACAGCCAGTATGCCCTACGACAATGGTTGTTTGGTATTGTTCAATAAGATACAGTATCTGATCACCTTTAAAAAAATAATACCCTAAATAAGAAAGTATAAAATTGACAATAAAAAAATGAAAGTTTTAAATTACGTGATTTATATTTCGGTAATCTTTTTCTTTGTTGTTGAATAGACAAGTAAGGACCTCGATCCACGAACGTCACAAGAGCTTCATTTGTTTCTTTTTCCGCTTCACGATCAAGGCTTGTTCCTACACGCGTGGAAGTATGCGTCGAATTTTATCAGGAATAAAATATTGTTTTTCGAAGGTTGCAAACTTTTAGACTCAGCTCTTCTATAATGAATTCTTCAATCTTTTTCTAAATTCTTTAGTAAATCTGGTATTCTGTAATTT